TTTGACAGGTAAAGCCTTGTTCTGTTCCTTTGATTAAGCACTGGTTCACTGTCCACTTCATGAACAGATTGATTTACATCAGTGACCAGTGACGGTATAAAGACAGTGGTTCGATCCACTTAACACCTGTTAACACACATTGTCTGGAAGTTTTGTGGGGGAGAGAAAATGGTTGGCAAAATGGACTGATGCAGAAAAGATAAAATGTGATTAATTAGAGCTCAGTGACCTCAGAGCAGAAATTAAAAGATACAAACCAAGCATTTTTTACTGTATGAATCACACACCCGGACATAAAAAACACTTTTCAGCAAAAAAAAAAAAGACCTGCCTTACACACTTTTGCCACCCATGGTGTAATATACTTCTTAGAGTGAACAGGACCACTGAGAACCGTTAAGAAAGTGTTGTATTTACACACATGATCCACTCGAACCAACACACTGGCCTCCCTGCCAGGTTCAGAAATTGTACCACACACATGAACTCCCTTCATTTCAATGTTCATTTCCTCTCTGTATCCACATGCCACACCAGAGCAACAACATGGCACCTTTAAACAGATAATCAGCACAAAATACCTTGGATTGGACTCAAAGCTCAGTTTAGGTTGGCAAACATAAGCAGGAGCCCATAGAAGACTCTAAAAGTCTCTCTCAATATACAAATAGGGGCTTATTCTGGGCTTATTCTCTTGTGACTCATACATTTAGATTCAGCGGATACATTTTCTACCTTTTAGAAGATCATAATATTGTTTCAGTGTGTAGTTGTTATGGAGGTATCTATTGTCAGTTTTCCATAAAAGTCCCACACAAGAGTCCATCCAAGAGGCATTATTACATCTTTAGTGCGCTCACCAATTACATTGCATTTCCCTCTCTGTGCCCGTTTCCTCCTCAGTGTGAGATACAGCGCAGTGCAGTGTACTGGAAAACATAATGATCTGGGATAAAATGGGGAATTACTCAGTCAAGTGTTTGCCATGCACCTCTCTACAGCTGTTTCTGCCCTTGATGGAAAGACTATATAATGGTTCATACTGACCTGTAAAAAGTAATGGTGGGGTAGATTATATTGGTCACTATTGGGTACTGGATACAGCAAGTGCTTTCTGTGTGTAAATACTGAAGTAGGTATAGAAATTGACAATACATTATAAACGTACAGGGAGGAACCTGGTTTTGACTCTAACTTCCTTTGGGGGTTAATCACTTCCATTTCCATTTATTAACTTTTTATGTCACTCTGAATAAACTAGTTAACACAGACTTCCTATCAAACAGTACTCTACCAGCATATGATAATGAGCACTGTATATGATCTAATAATATAAATATTATATTCTTTAACTAAAAAATGAAGCCCATGTCATGTTTTTCTGTAACAAAAAACACCAATAAATGCTTGAAACAAACTATATAACTATATAAACTATTCATATGAAGTGTTGTCCGACTGAAGTGTTTATAGCTGCTCCAAACTGCCACATTCAAAAGTCGTGTTAAACCACCATAGAAAAAGGTGAGATGTGATCATTGTTCAGACGAGAATAAGAGCACAAACCTTTCAACAGTTTTTCACGGTGTTGCACATTTGTAAACACAACATGATAGGCGTAGTTGTGTGGAGAGTGATAAAGAGAGTTGGAGAGAGAAGTTTAAACTCCTTCATTTCTCTGCACGCCTTCTTTCACTGTCACAAGAGAAAGCAGCGAGATGTTTCTGTAGACATATCCAGTCATAGTAAAAATGAATATGGGAATAGTCAGCCATGTAAACCAGTTCAAATAATTTAAGTATAAGATCAATCAGGTTTTCTAATGATGTAAACAAAGTAAAACCGGACGATAAAAAGAAGATATATTTTTTTTTTTGTTTTTATAATTTCATCGTAACCTGAAGAATAGTGAAGCTATTGAAACTGTAATAAAAATTGTTAATCTGATTACCTTTTTCTGATTATCATAATTAAATTAAAGAATATTGTCACAAATTCAGAGATGACAGCAAAAGACAAATTCGGTGAATAGGCAAACATTCAACTGATTAATACATTAATAAGTGTAAACCAGGTTATTGGTCAGAAGTTGTGCTACCTGAACTATTCAAACACTGCTAGGAATATGGGTCGAAATGTACAGTAATAGGGCTAGGGATGTTGAGGAGTTATACTTTTTCCTGCAACAGCTGACAGTGAGCATCAGGCCAAAGACCAGCTGGAAGGACCCAGTCTGACCGGAGGAGGAACAGGAAAGAAGTGTGGAAGGAAGAGGAGGACAAAGGGAATTAATGCCAGCTCCACACTGGCTTAGCAAACAATGGAGAGACACAGTTATAGATGTTGTATGAGGGGTTAGACAGATGTTAGCTCTTAGTGCTGAGGTTTCCACTGTCTCCCTCTTAGTGCTTTCAGATGACGGCTTTCCGGTTCTGGTGTCAGTGCTGTGTTTGTTTCTATTATTGATGTAACTTGGGTATAATCAATAACAGATTATAGGCTACAGGGACTTGGCTAACATATGCCCACCACCCTGTTTTTAACAAGTAACAAGCAGACACACACGTACAGTACACACAGTCATAAAACATGCTGTATAATGTACTATACAGGCACAAGTGGAAATATATTGGTCAATATCAATACTATTCAAGAACAGCATACTTCTGACAGATATTATTGCTTGTCAACATAAACATTATATGGTAAAGAAAGCCAGAAAAACTAAATTACAAACCTTCAAAATCAGAAATAATTCCCTCCAAGTGTGGATTGACTCCAGAATCAGACATATTTTCAGGCAACTTCTTTTTCTTTCTAACTCTCAAGTAGCTCCCAGTTAACTCTGAACAAATTCCAAAATAGAGTCAATGAGAAAAGTCCAAGCGAACAACTCTCTTAAAAGGAGCAACTTATTTTCTCTGACTTGCTACTAACTTCTCTATATCATTGCATTCAGACGTCAGAGAGAGCAAAAAGGCAAGCCTCCTCCTCCTCCTCCCTTCTCCTCCCCTCCCAGCAACACACTCCCCCTTCTACCTCATGTCCTGTGTGAGTGTGTCTCCCCTGCCCCCCATAAACTCCTAGACGCACACGCTAGCTTTCATGCAGACAATAGCCCCTGTCATTCCCTGAGACCTCTTTTTTCAACCAAAGTGGCTCTCAGGTCTGATTTCCTCATTCAGCCACTAAGCAGCTCTGACAGTGAAAGTGGACGACACGTCATATAGTCACTTTAACCAAGTTAACCTGCAATCAGATAAGATTCTTTGGTACAACTGTGGCTATTCAAATGGCCCTCAGAATGGCACTCTGTCACAGCTACAGAGAGGGACAGTTTAAGTGAGAGTCTGAGGCTTCAGTTTTGAGTAAACAACCGCTAGAAACTGGCTGGCATGTTAATTTAAATTGCAGTCACTTCTGTAGAAGCTGCTTTCCTGTGACAGCAAAACCTGAAAGGCTTCCTGGAGAAAGTTGACATTAGGGATATACGACGGCGCCTCTGGGCACTCAGAGGGCGATTCATGTACCAACCCGTCCTCTGTGACACTGTATTACCAGGAAGAATTTGGGAATTTGAGCTTGTTGGACACATTTGACCAGGTAATCCAGCACTGCTGCACTTCTTTTGGGAGGGACACCGACGACAAGCCATCTTTTGATGTGCTGGGTATGGTTACATTTCTCGTCCTTGAAGCTGTCGTGGCCAATTTAGAGACTGTTCTTTGGCAGCGACAGAAAAACGTTGTTGAAAAGATGTTGATAAAATAATCTAAAGTGATGAAATATCAAAGTTGGCCTTGCATTTACTTAACCACATCCACTGTGTCCCTGTGGGATGTGCTGCAGTATTTCTTATCAATGAATGTTCCACAGAAACAAGCAAACAGTGATGCTATCGCTGTAAGTACTGATTGGTCATGAGTGAGCAGCTTTTTACCGCTTCCTGTCCAGAGCCAGACGTGACTGCAAATGAGATTTGTGATGAATTGTCCCTGATTCTAGGTCAGTTGTACAATTTTCACAGTAATGGTTAAAGTCATTATAGTGAATGTAGAAGCTGGTCCACAATCAGCGCTCAAAGGAAACCTAACAACACATCAGATATCACAAATCACACAAGTGTTTCACTCTTGGTCAAGGCAAAAAGATACAGCACCTGTTTGTGGCACTTTTACAGCCAATAAGTAAGGGAAATCCCATTTGAATAAAAAGCTCCATTCTAAGGGGCACTATTAAGATGCCAAGGCCACCCAGTGGCCCCTAACCTTAACACCTGAGAGGTCGACGGTAACACAGAATAACACTGTGTGTTTATGGCGCAGTCTGGTTATTTCATATAGCTCCTGCGAATGTGTCTTAGGACAAAGAACAGAGTATGGCACACACCACGGTGTGTACACTGAGTACTTGCATTTATTGTATCCTAAATCCATCAATCATGGAACTTTACAGGGTAGAGTATCAGTTCCCCTGAGATGCTTCTTGTCATATGTTGTGCAATTAAGCTTTGAGTCCATCTTGTAACAGTGCACATAATATGCATCATACATCCTGACAGCTGTGTGAGCATTTATAGCGTTTGTTGCTTTGTGCATGCATGCATGTTTAATAAATAAATGTATCTGTATGTACACTAACATAAGTGTACTTTCATAGACTGTATACATGGTAGACCTATCTACTGTGTGTGTGTGTGTGT